GACCACCAGGCGATCCCGACTCCGCGTGCAAGCCCGCCGCCGCCGCCGCCGCCGCCGCAGTCCTCGGGCAGAAAACCTTTGCCAGAGGCAAAACAGAGCAAGCTCCCCTTTGGCACTCCGAAGTCTACCACACTCATCAAAGCAGGCAAGAGTGCCAAACCTCGCGGCAAAAAACCAAAGCAACCTAACAAGGCCCCACAACCACCTCCCACAAATCCCCTCTTGCAGACGTTCAAAGCATCCAAAAATGTATCAGATACTGCCTCGGCCAAGAAGCTGGGAGGCCGTTCGCCGCTGCCAGATCGCAAGCCTTTCAAAGAAGAGCCGAACTTGGTGGTATCGCTGCCGTCTCCTGGTCATGATGGCAAGACCCCAGAGAGGATTACTAACAACCATACTGCATCTCCCACGAGTCCGACGATGCCGGAACACCAACTTGGCGAGACTATTTCGCCAAAATCCATCCCCAATAACATGCGCAACCTAATTGATGTCTCTTAACACCACTGAAGGGGGAAAAAGGGGGGCGGAGGTGTTGATCAAATTATAGTTATGCAAACTGGAGTTGTTGTGGATATATATACTATTGAATTGGGAGTCAATATCTCATAGAGAGCGGGAGGCTCTTCCGGTGTTTTGGGCGTTGATTGGGATGTTGGACCGCGCTACATAGATGACAAAAAGTAACCGTGGTGGTCGATTGTACATATGTGAGGAGGTTTGCTTAATGGCCTGTTCACCGTGCAGGCATTTTACTCGATACGCACGGTACATAGACTTACAAGGAGGGTCTTTTAATGTTACGATATGCGCTCTTGCCGTGATTTGACTCGCGTCGACTCTGCTGATTTTGCCCAAGAAAAAGAGCGTTCTGTAAGCGGGTGGTCTCCCCGTGTTGCAGTGTTTTTTCTCAACCGTCCCACCAGGGCATGAAATGCTCCTGGCAGCTGAGCTTGGGTGAATCCCTTTTTTCCCGAGTGATGTATCTGGTCATCTCTAGATGTCCCAAGAAACGGTTATAGCGACTCTTCTCGACATGGTCTCGACGTGGTCTTGCCCCCCCCCCCGGTCAGGCTCATGTAGTACAAGGTCACACTACATGCAGGGACACGAGTTGCAGCAAGGCCCAGGTCTGACAAGAATTGGCGCCGAGGAAGAGCAGGGAGGGGGGTTTATCATTTGAAGCTCCATCTTATGGCTTGCCGACCTCTCTGTCCTGATGAACCTCATCTAGGGCCTCCAAAGTTTCGCCACAGACTTGGCTTGGTACCTTTCGAAACCTCGACTCCGTACCTGAGCGGCTCTGGAGGAATCCGGCGAGTAGATTTGTCTCGTGGCAACGGCTTGTCTGTATCTGTGATTGCCGGAAACAGTGATTGGTGATGGGATACATACCAGGGTGCGACGTCCACTTCAAATACATTGCGTCAAGGACCAGCGTACGTCACAGGGCACAGTGTTAAACAGGTCCGGTCGAAAAAGGTAATGAGCTTGGATTCCGCCGCTCCAAACTCTCGGCGTGAGCTATACAAGAGGCGGCTCCATGCTTCTTGAGGCAAAATGCGCCACCTACGGTAGCTATACAACACTGGCGCTGAGCAGGCGGAATCAATCATTTCTTAAGGATCCTCGCCGCCACGGGGCTTCTGAGCATGTAACAAAAGCCTTGTACTTCATTTTGGGTATCTTTGTTCTTTTTATGTTTCTCGCAGAAAAATAGCCATACTCAAAATCACCGTCCATGGATATCCATAAGTCGTGCTTCCAAGACCCAATGCCCTTCACCTGATGTGGACTTCAAAAGTGTCCATGTCATCAATCTCCGCCTCGTCCATGGTGACATGCTCCTCTAGCCTGTCGCCGTCGAACCACAGGCCTACGTCTTTATCGGAGCCTATTGATCGCTGTGTGCGGAACCCAGTGATCAACGTCTCGACTGTCGTTTCTGGACGCACTGTCAGATTGACGTCTTCCAAGTCCCGCGACTTGAGAATGACGCGAATCTTGACCTCCGGAGCAGGCGCCTCTTCTGCTGCCGCCCGGTCATCCTCGTCCGACAATTCGCCTGCTCCTCGCTTCCTTCTTAGCTCCTCCTCGCGTTCCATTTCGTGAAATAAATCCAACGTCCACGCCTCCATGTGGACTCGCGTCCGGCCGTCGGCTAGCCCCTTTGAGCCATTGCCGTCCACGACGGCCCGCCCGTTCCCTTGAGGCCGGATACCCAGGGTCAGCAGCGTAGAAAACGTGTACACCCTTTGCCTTCGCCACGTAAGCACAATATCGTCTTCCTTTTGGACGTCTTTCAGAATTCCTTTGTGATGCTGGAGCGTAAGCCACGTGTTGCGAGCGAGGCGTAGTTGTTTGTCAAACAGAAACTTGAAGCAGCAGGGCTTGGTGCCCGGGACAACCGATGTGACGAGAATCTCAATGCGATCCTTTATCGCTTCGCCATCTTCGCCGACGCTGAGCATGGCCTGGTCTCGAGCTCGCTGCTCCTCCGCCCTGCGGACGTACTCGGAAAATTCGTCCTCCTCCTCGGTGGCCATGAAGCTGGTCTCGTGGACTTCTACGCTAGCTTCTCGTTGTTTAGTGCTACGTGCTACCTGAACATCACCGCCATCATCATCATCTGAGTCGACAAGCACGATGGGTGTAGGGTTTGACGTCCTAGTTACCCGGTGCAGGCTGCCCGACGTCGTGGGATTAGTGTGAGACCGCAGTAGTCGAGCAGAGGGCGAATCGCCTAGCGGCATGTCTATATTTTCGACATCGAGATTCGTACTCTTTGACGGGGTTGAGTCTAGGCGCGTTCGTTTTGAGGCCGGCGGCGTAACCAACTCACTGAATTATTTTTCGTAAAACCCAAGTTAGCCACACAAACAAAACAAAACAAACCAGGCCTCTTAGCACACGTATGTACGAACCTGGCCATGACGTCCCCATCTCTGGAAGAACAACCACCAACAGGTGTACTTCTCCTAGCTACCCAAGGGGACTCGTGTGGTCCCGTAGCTGCCTGGGTATCTATTTCCTCATCATCGTCCAGCGGCCTCTTGGCGGATTCATCCGACTTTCGCCGCGCTTCTTCTTCCTGCTTCTGCTTCATCTTCTTCTTCATCCTCCTCTCACGGTCGGCAGCCACGATTGGCTCCATCTCCTTGGACCTGCGAAACAAGTCAAGGCCATCATCAATGTTGGTGTCATCAGACGGCGTCGCTAGCCTTTGCGACGCCGACTTGCGCAAAGCTGTCGGCTTGAAGGGAAGTTTCTTCGCCTTCGGCCGAGAAGGACTGGGCTCTTCGCCCATCATGGTGGTGGTAGGGGAAACGGGGGGCCGGGTTCGCAAACACGTTGGTGGAAAGGCTTGGAGCCCATGCGCGCCTCTGTGCTACGCATAACCAACGTGTCGCGGGGCTCAGGAGATGCCGCGTACTAAACAGCTTGGCGGGATCGTATGCGAATGTGAAGCAGGGCAACGTCTGATGGCGGGGCGGTTCATTGTCTGGTTTGTTTGGGCCGGCGTCAATGGCAAGTGGCCGCCTTGATTGTTGCAGTTGGCGGGTGGTTGTCCCGGGCGGGTTCAGATATTGTCAGTTGTCCGCACCAGCGAAGAAATTCATTGGAGCAAGTCGCCGCCACAGTGCGAGCATTTGAACGTCGCTTAATCCGCCCCACTTTGTTACCAGAAGCTACGTACCCGCAAAGTCTCGCGCCGAATCTCATCAACATCATCCATCGGCCCATCGAAGCATCCTGTCATCGCAATCCTTCACACCATGTCTTCGGCAGAGAACGGCAGCATTTCACAGGGCGAGGGCAAGGACCCGTCTAGCTTCCTGAGCGATATCATCGGCAACCCTGTAATTGTAAAGCTCAACTCTGGCGTTGTCTACAAGGGTGAGGTACTCCCTCGGACGCTGCCGCAACGTCATATCCACGATGCACATGAACGCCGCCTGTGCAGTAACAATATGTGAATGGCGCACATGACTAACTGAATCCGTGGATATAGGCGAATTGCAATCAGTGGACGGCTACATGAACATTGCGCTAGAGAAGACGGAGGAGTTTATCAACGGCAAGAAGCGTAGGGATTACGGAGATGCATTTGTGCGAGGAAACAATGGTGAGTGCATCTTTTGGCTTTTCGTCTCTTCTTTTTTCCCGCCTTGAAGACGGAGAGACTAACTCGCGCATAGTAATGTACATCTCAGCAGACTCATAAAGCACGCCAAGGACATGAACAAATCATCTTGATACCACCACGTGCCTGCTCCCGTTACCATAAAGTCCGTCTTCCCACCGCCATCAATATGCTGCTTCTCATCCCTAAAGCCTCCTCGTCCACGCATACACTGTGAACCCATGAAATTCAGCCTCTCCCTTCTCATTCCAGACCTGGTCCCCCTCGCTCATGATCCCATCAAACTGGGCCTTGAACGCATCCTTATCCGCATCTTGAAGCACCGCAACCTGACTCAACGTCTGGATTCGATCCCACAGCAACTCCTTGGTGAGCCAGACCGTAAACGAAATCTTTTCTTGACCAATCGGCGTGGCAAAGAGCGGCGCTGGATCACGAGCTTGCCGCTCAAACACGTCCCGCCATTTGTCGTCTCGGAATCGATTTGTGCCGTCTGGCGATAGGGCAAGGATGAGCTGCTTTAATTTATTTTCCCAGGCGGTCGAAGCCGTCCAGGTCGCCGGTTGGTTATCTGACGCCTGTTAGCACTGTAGCCAAGCCATCATGCTGGGGGAGTCACGTACAATCCTCAATGTTCCAAATGATGCCCAACCTGCCGCCTGGCTTGAGCACACGACGAATCTCCTTTAGTGCTTCCTCATTTGCAAACCTGCGCTGCTATTAGCGTAGGCTTTAACGGCTGTACCTGGCGGGATCAAAGCTCACCAGTGGAATGACTGGAAGAGACCTCATTAGCATGCGGTGTCGGGAATATACGGACTGGATTGCATCAACATACCTGGGCTGCAATGACGGCATCCGCCCACCCATCGCTTAGATGTATGCTCGTGGCCAGTCCATCTATTACCTCGACATTCTTCAAATGCTTGCCCGCGAGACTCTGTCGCATCTTGGCTACTGGCTCCACTGCCACAATCTCATACTGCTCCTCCCGAGCAGCCAGTAGCTCTGTGAATTTGCCCGTACCGGCTGCGAGGTCGACTATCTTCGCGCGAGGCCTGTCGGCAACGTCGAGGTTGTGCAGCAGAGCCTGGACTGCACCAGGTGGGTACGAGGGGCGATGGACGTCATATGCTGAGGCGTTGTCGAAGCCAGTTACGGCGGCGTGGGCGACTTGCTGAGGCGGCATTTTGAGATGGCTCCGTTTGAGTTGACGACTTTATTTGTATTGTAGGCAGTGCAGGCGTGTGTCACTTATATTCTCCAGATAGGGTAATGCTGTGCTACTCGGGTACGCCGTTTCTTGGCCAATTGGATCACGGTCGTTTCCAAGATAGATTTAGCACTAAGCCGTCGCCGTTATCACCGAGAACCCGATCGAACTACGAGATTCCAATTTCTGCAACAGAAGTAGGCAATACTATGGCGTGGTACCCGGAGTACGGCTTGGGCTGGTCAAATGCGATGAAACATGCGTATCCACTTTGGCAATTATGTCATTAAGAATGTATATTCCGTGCACCAAATTTACATGCAATGATATTTACCCCAGCCGAGATCGGATGTCATAAAAGCCCTCCAAAACTAAAAAAAAAATCTAACTCATCATATACACCATAGCAAGCAGGACTACCGTCTTTGCTTCTGTAGTTTGGCAGGCGGCGGCCGTGTCTGTAGTTCTATGCTATGGCGGTCTCGACTTGAACCAGGCCTTGCAGTTGGAAATTCGGATCGAGCGCCCAATGTACCCGCCGGGAGAACCTCAAATCCAGAGTTCAGCCTGCGATGCGTCCTGTTCACGAATACCTGGGCAGAGCCGTAAACCTGTCTCGTATTCTGCAGGCTGTTGACAACACTCGAGTCCAGCGATACCGCCCTAGACCTCGGTCTGTGCCTTGCGATCTGTTGAGGGGAGAGGGTGAAGCTTCTCTCTGAGCCTTGCAAGGAAATTCTGCCTGAGCCGGATGGTTTATATACAGTGCCGTCCGCTGTCGCCGGCACACGATTCTCGTCGTTGTTTTCCACTGCGTAGTCGGAATTCTCGGCCACATGGTGCGCATCGGGTGCTTGGGATGGCGCACCGGGGAGGGTAAATGCTGAATTCGACGATTCACCGACTTTTCCCTGAGCATCTTCCAAGCAGTAATATACCTTTTCTCCACCAGGGACGGCCTGTTTCGAGCCTCCGGTGGCCAAAGGCGCAGAGGGAACAATCCGACTAGCCGCCGCTGGTCTGGAGCTGGCTATCCATATCCCTTCAACCTCGACTCCGCGTTCGATTGCTCGCACGCCAAACGGAACATTTGAGTAGCTCAAGTGGCGGATCCCACAGTGCTTCATCTCTGTAATTCGGCATCGCCGTTCCTCGTCAATAACTTCGTACTTTCGAAGCTCTCGATTATTCTGCCACAGCTTTACGAGGCCGATAAGAAAGACTGTGGCTATGCAACACGCAAGGACCTGTAGCACACAACCAGGTCAGTTCCGGGCTCAATGCCCTTGCAAGGCGGTGCAGCGTGTATCAGCAAGACTTACAAATGTCATCTGTTGCCATAGCTGCCATTGTATAAAGAAGGACGTCATGCTTGAGCCTCCCTCCCCCGTCGGCTTTGGTTCAGGTGCAGGCGACAACAAGAATGAGAGACCACATTCGGCAAAAGTCCTGGAGGAGACACATTATTTATGCGAGCATGTTGTAGCGGGATGGAATTGAATGACTGCGGCCAAAAGAAAAAATAAAAAAATACGAAGGGCAGGGTCCAGGCGCAGTTCCAAGTGAAAGAGAGTAAGAATCAGCAAGAGCCAGCGAGCAGCCCGTGTATCTGACGAAACTTCAACCAAACACGTTTTGATTGTGCTAATTTTGCACTTTCGTCTCACTTCGAGTCAGATTGAAAAAAAAAAAAAACGCCGTAAAGCACTTTGGATACCACGTAATTCCAATCTGCAGAAATATTGCAAGCAACGTAGCGAGCGGTGTTGATGGGCCGCGCTGCGAAGATCAAGGTCCAGAAATTGAAAACCCCCGAGAAAAGAGAGAAAAGAGAAACAAAATTCCCGCACATGCATTTGGTAGGCAAGTAGGCCAGAGAGGTTGGGCGTGAACAAGAGCCGTACTCCGTACATTTTGGTCCGAGACAGCTGGCAAGAAGAATGTTCCGGAATGGACAATATCAGCAGGGGATGAGGCATTGTGCAACCATGGATATGCAACATGCTGGTCGGCTGCTTCATCAGTGCGCGACTGGTCAGGTGCCACGAATTACGCGGACGGGCTGACAGATTGTACTCGACACGCATGCAGGTGCTCGTTCAACTTCTATCATGTCATGTCCTTGGCATATTCTTACACTGGACGCCATCTTGCGACTATATCCTGTTGATCTCATATCCGGTCACAGCAAAGCAACACCACCAACGATGCCAGCAACAAGGATCATCTTGGATGCACCAACCAGCCTTCCAGCATCACCAGCGTGTGTAGAAGTGGCAGCAGTGTTGCCTGTGCCATTTCCAGATGTGATCGTTCCACTTAGAGTCGTTGTCGAGATGGTAGCCGGCAGAGTCGTCGACGGAGAAGCAGCAGCACCTGAAACGGACTTGACTTGCAATCACGCCTGTGTTTGTGGGTGTCGACTCTACGAGGGATAGACACTGCTTCTCGTAGCGGCGGCCATGACAGTTGAAGGCTTCCAGCACGGAAGATACGATGGCTCAGTTTTCAGCGTCTCAGTCCCCGTGTCAAATGCGCATACAGGAACAGCCTTTCTCGGAGGAGCTCGACCACCGCCGCAGTCGTGGGGATCACAGATCTGGCCATCATCCGGGTCGTACCAGTGAACGATGCGGTCTTCGCAAGTTGTGTAACTGATGGAATGGCAGCCAAATGCAGCCGCGCCTGCTGCTAGGAGAAGGGGTAGAGCGACGGAGAGCGCTGCTTTGACCATTTTGACGCCAACGAAACGAGGCGTCCCGCTCGTTAGGCCTCGACAGAAGGTACTACAAACACAAGAACTTGGTATGAGCAAAGTAGGAGGCAGATAGACTAGATATAGATCTCCTTTTTGTTGAACCACCCCGCCGACGACTCAAAGCGGGAGGACAACCCGGCAAATTCTGGAAGCTAAAAATGCCATAAAACGGAACAGCTCCTCTGGCATTTGCCCAGAGGGGATTGTTTTTCCAGGCCAAGAAGCTAAACAGAGTAGACCAGCTCGCCCCTGGTCAACCCATCTACTGTCCCGTCAACTCACTATTTAGAGAGGCGTAGGTAGGGCTGAGATTGTCCGCAGCGGATCACAATGCTATTAGTGACCATGACCAAATCATGGCCAGCGAATCACCGCCCGGTTTCGATAGAGTCAAATGGGCTTTTGGAAGAGATTCACCATATTCTTGAGACGAAATCATCCCGTACCTGGATTCCCACTTAAAGGGGGCTTACTTTCTGGACTTGATCAACAAACAGGTTGACGGGTCGTTATCGTGACAAGTTAACCAGCTAGTACGAATTGGGAAGATGCCGGGATCCCATCAGCTCTCGCACTCCCTGTATGAAGATTCTGAAGCTTGTGCAATATCATGACAGGTCTGTTACTTACACAGCGAGAGGAAAGGAGCATTGTCTGAGAGATGAGATGAGTGTCCATGTTTGAAGCATTTTGTTGTTGCCCAACCAACCAGTTGGCTCTCACGATGTCAATGAACAGTGTTGTCAATACTTGCCGCCTACGCCGTGAGATCTACAGTGTCTAAACAGTTGCTCTATTTCTGGCCTGTAGTACATATTAGGTTTCATCATGTTGGCACAAGTAAACAGAGTCGTCGAGCTCACTTCGCTCGCGTTGGTGGCGAGGACAAAGCAACTCTGTATTTAGGGCGAACAAGTGACTCACTCTTGTAATTGCCTCTAGTAACACGTGTTTTCGATTCATATGAGGCTGTGGATGAATTCTCAGTGACTATGTTTTGCTGACAGTAATAGATAGTTTACAGATAGTTGCAAGAGGCGTTTTAGGAAGTAGGGCGCGCATCCAGATTGCGCACTGTACCAAATGTGCTGATATGTGATTTTTGCACAGTGAGGTACAGTGTCCATTGCGCCAACAAGTTCTCCTCGTTGGCCTCTTGCCTCTTGTACCGACCGGGCACTCCGCAGCGCACCAAGCTTGGCAGGCGTGGTTGATGATGCTGATGGCCAAAAAGGAGGCCGACAGTGTCAATAAATCCCGTCTTGACGAGGAGGCAGCATTGAAACAGCCGGATTGAGCCGGGTTGTGGACTGGCCAGTTCTGTTTCGTCACTGACATCATGCGAACGAAACGGGATTGGCCAGGTGGTAGTGCAGGGATCGGGCTTGGGCTTGGAGAGGTAATGCTGCCCCGGATTTCCCGATTTCCCCATGGTTGCGCCCGGTTCATCTGATGGGACGGCGCATTGTTTTCCTCTGTCCCTGTAGAGTAACGATGCAATTAACTTCTTAGTTGGGCACCTGAAAAACTGGAATTGGGAAAGTTGATTAGCTGATGAGGACGGCCCGAGACTCAGCGTGTTACATGCTTTCCTGGGCCGCCTTGGCCTCCACAATTGCACTCATGTGCACTCGGTGAGCGACGGTGGTGGGGTGGGCATCGTCGAGGCGCATCCAGTCGCACCGACTTGTCGACCGGCGGCATTCGGCCAAGGCAAGTCCGACCCGGCGAAACAATTGACGAGCCCCACCACAGCGAGCAGCGCGTTGCCAGTGGAGCGCCGGGTGTGCACTTCAGCGCATTTGAGCCAAAAGGTGCCTCCAGCTAGATTAATTACATCAAGCTCGCTGGAAAACTGTCTTGGCCCCCTGCTGCCAGCCCTGAGGTTTGCACATGTGGCCCCAACGCCTCCAAACTCTACGTGCACGGTAGAAAGTCAATGCCCATCCGAGACGGTGCCATGTTACATGCAAGGCCAATAAAAGGCCCCATCATCGCCTTGCCGACGCCGGGCTGCAAGTCCAGTTCGCCTTATTAAATACTACCAGCCACTACACAGTTTACGCCATTAGCTGTTTTCCTCCTCGTCCATAGCATTTTCCTTGTCGGCATTTATTCTAAACTTGTATATTCCGCCACCTGCGGCTTTTCTCCTTGTCGTTTACAGAGCCTGGCTGTACGCAATTCTTCGTCGCAACCTCGGCCATTATCGTCATTGCTCGGCCGTAATCGCCGTCGCCGTCTCCAAGATGCCCATTCGCAATCCTTTTGCTCGTCGCACCGGCACTGCCACCGCACACGACGAGAACCTGCACCCCGAGCGAGAAAACCCCCATCTAGGCTTCGAGCGTGTTGATACCGTCGGATCCAAAGCTTCGTCAGCCCTCAGCATTCGGAGCACAAGGAGCCATGATACTGGCGAGTACAAGATGAGTGGTGCGTGACCTGATCTCTTACCCGCCTGCAACATGATGCCACCAGACCGTCAGATCAGACTATCAGACCACGCCTGCACGGCCTCGTGCTGGCGCTGGCGCTGGCCATGGCCTTGGCTCTCCGTCACAGGACCATTTGTATCTAACGTTTTGGCTGTTTGAACTCGTTAGTTGTGAATGACAGTGGCGTATATCTTCCGGTATGTACCAACCGTCACGTTCCTTGCTTCATTGTGCCATCAGACTAATCCGTCTTGTCCGCCAAAAAAACAGCCGTCACCAACCGAGGACAAGGGTCAATGGCCTCGCAAGTACCTGTCTTCAAGGGCCTCAACGGAAACGGGGAGCAGCCTTGGCGACATTGAGCACTTCCCCATCTCCCGCGAATCATTTGATTCCTACCGTAGATCATTTGTTAGTCTCTCTTTTTGCACCCAGACTCAGACATGGCTTCGCTCCTCAACATTCAGCACCACTGCTTACACGACTGTTCGTTCACCCTAGGATGTTACAGCTCGGTCACCCGTAATTTCCCACGACGGTCTCGGACGACAGAGCCTAGACTCTGCTCGGTTCCGTCGTCTTCCCAGAGCAGCCATTGACCGCAAGTTTGAGCGCGAGCCTCCCACCGCCGAGGAAGGATTCGAGGATGTCGGTTTAGACGACTACAAGCAGCAGCCCCGGAAGCGCGGCTTCTTCTCCAAGCTGACCGAGTCGCAAGATTCAAACGGTCAACCGACTGTGTCCCGGTTCCTGATGCCCGGACGCAAGCGCGGCCAAAGTGGCCAAGGCTCGGAACTTGGGACCATGGACTTTCCCAAGGTATCTGATGAGACACGAAACTAGTCTGGAAAACGGGGATATGGCGCTCTGGCTGCATTGATAGTATTACACATCGACTGGCGCGCATTTAGGGCCGTGGCCTGGGATATAATAATGTAGCAATTCATGGGAGAATTGTGAAATCGGCATGGGTGGGAACTGGCGTTTGCCATAATGCAATGACTTGACGATAATAATCATGATTTATTCACTTATTAATCCTCCGCTGACCTTGAAACGGCTTTTTCTGTCCAAGTCCGCGCCAAGTCGACTCACGATAAGGCCGTCTGTCGTTGGCGCCCTACACACACCCGATACGCCTTCGGCCCCGCCAATGTTGGGTCAATGCTCCACCATTCCTGACACGCCTTCTGTAATCAATTGATGTGATCAACCAGTCCACGCCCTTCGTCTTATCGTATATATGTCAGAGTCCGCAACTGGTTCGGGGGTTTTTAACTTTCCCCTCCAGGCTTCTCATTATTAGGCTTCGAATATCAAAGCTCTCTGGCAAACGTCTCAAGACCGAGACCTCATCAGACCATCGGCACACTTGTGGCTGCCCAACATGGCATCAGTACCAAGCGGAGTTCCGGCTGAGGAGGTGGCCCGTCTATCACTGTCGTCGAAGACTGTCCATGCGGATGATGCTATTTCTGCGCATAGGGCCGTAGCACCTGCTATGCATGTCAGCACGACGTTTCGATACAGTGATGATCCAGAGCAGTTGAAGCATATCGCGGATCCCACCAAGCTGGGGGACTGGAATAATCCCGATGTGAGTCCATAACGACCTGTCCCACATCCTCAGCCGGCCAAAAATCTCGTCAGACACAGTGTGGCAGGAATGGTGTACTCGAATATTGACAATAGTTCACCAGCCCAACGCTCCGCTGGACTCGCATACTTACTCGCGAGATTCCAACCCCAACACCACTCGTCTCGAGGCTGTTCTCTCAAGCATTCTCGGCGGCCCGTCACTCACTTATGCTTCCGGCCTGGCTGCATTCCATGCCATGCTTATTCGGCTGAATCCCAAGCGCATTGCCATTGGCGAAGGATACCACGGGTGCCACGGCGTCATCAAGGTGGTGTCCCGCCTAACTGGTCTTCAGAAACTTCCTCTGGACTGTGACCCGTCCGAATTGGGGCCCGGCGACATCATCCATGTGGAAACGCCGTTGAATCCCACAGGCGAAGCTCGCAACCTTGAGTTCTACGCCGACAAGGCGCACAAAGCCGGTGCCTTGTTGACCGTGGACGCTACATTTGCGCCACCTCCACTTCAGAACCCCTTCGACTTTGGAGCTGACATCATCATGCACAGCGGAACAAAGTACATTGGCGGGCACTCCGACATGCTGTGCGGCGTTCTGACGGTTCGGCCCGGGAGCAGCTGGGCCAAGGAGCTCCGCGAAGAGCGTCTTGTTCTCGGCTCGGTAATGGGCAGCATGGAGGGCTGGCTGGGACTCAGGTCTCTTCGAACGCTGGAGCTGCGAGTCACCAGGCAGAGCCAGACCGCCGCAGCACTCGTCAAATGGCTCTCAAGTCAGCTCGGCGACTCGTCCACTGTTGCCGGACAGCTCGTCGAGAAGCTTCACCATGCTAGTTTGCAGCCTGAAGCGGCAGAGGAAGGGAGCTGGCTGAGAAAACAAATGCCTGCTGGGTATGGAGCTGTTTTCGCTATTGTCATGAAGGAAATAGATCTTGCCAAGAAGCTTCCTAGTAGACTGAGATTATTCCACCATGCGACTAGCTTGGGGGGCATTGAGAGCTTGATCGAGTGGCGGGCCATGACGGACCCGCATGTTGACCAGAGATTGTTGCGAGTGAGCATTGGCGTGGAAGGGTTTGAGGATTTGAAGAGAGATATTGAGCAGGCTTTTGAAAGTTTAAGGAAGTAGGTTATGGATGGAGTGAGGTTGGAACTGCGGTGGCAGGAGTTTTCTTGGAAGAGCCTATGTGGTATTTGGCGAAGTAGAAGGCGCGATAGTGAGCCATACACCATGTTCTTGCTTCGTGGCTATGCCCTAGTGTCAGTGTTCAAAAAATGAAACTCTTGTGGACTGCTATGGATGGGTTGTCATTGTATGACAGCAGTCGGTGTATGTTTCTATTTCCATGGAAACCCAATTAACTCGACCAAGACCCGCCAATCCCTCCGCCCCCGGCTAACGCACCTGACATCCAATAAGATCAAAATGAATCATTGACCCTGGATCTTCACCTAAAGGGTCTACTCCGTACGCGCAGCAAGACAAAAACGTGGCAGCCAGGGACACAACGAAAAAAAAAAAAAAAAAAAAAAAAAAAAAAAAAAAAAAAAAAAAAAAAAAAAAAAAAAAAAAAAAAAAAAAAAAAAAAAAAAGAGATCAAACAGTTTTATCACGTACACAGCGACATCGACATCGACATCGACATTCTTTCTCCGATCCATCTGTCCCACCAACGGAAACCCCATCGACGCCTCATCGGCCTCACAAATCAATGCCGATGAAGTGAAGCCCGCCAGATTCCACACATCAAAACGGCGTTGCGGGCACCACGACCGGGCGCGCGCATCATCGACGATATCAACAAACCATCCTCTCCGCCTCCGCCTCCATCTAAATGCCCTAATGCCACGCCTCGCCCTCTTCCGCCTGCCAACCAAGCTCCGGCGCCAAGTACGCCGCAATAGAATGGCCACTCTCACGCTGCTGGGCATCCTCGCGCTCCTCCTCATCTTCCCCATCTACTCGATATACTGCATATACAAGCCGCCCAAGGCGCTGATAGGCTACCTGCGGCAAAAGTACCCCGACGTGCTCTTCGAGGTGACGACGGACGAGAAGGTGGTGGCCCTCTCGCTCGACGACGCGCCGTCGGCGCACACGGGCGAGATCATGGACGTGCTCAAGGAGCACGGCGCCCACGCGACCTTCTTCGTCATCGGGGCGCAGGCCGACGGCCGGCAGGAGACGCTGCGGTCGCTGATCCGCGAGGGCCACGAGCTCGCCAACCACGGCATGCACGACGAGCCCGCGTCCGCGCTGGGCATTGACGAGCTCGAGAGGCAGGTCGGCGAGGTCAAGGCGAGGCTGGTGGCCACGTACGGGGCCGAGGGCAAGATGCTGCCCAACAACTACTACCGCCCGGGCTCCGGCTTCTTCAACTACAAGATGCGGGACGTGCTGGGCAACAGGGGCTACCGCATCACGCTGGGCAGCGTGTACCCTCACGATCCGCAGATTCCGTACCCCAAGAGGAACGCCAAGCACATCCTGAGCATGGTGCACCCGGGCGCCATTATCATTTGCCACGACAGGCGGGAGTGGACGGCGCCCATGCTGAAGATGATTTTGCCGGAGTTGAAGGAGAGGGGGTACAAAATTGTTACTATAACCGATCTTGTCAAGACGGTTGAGCCGCTGGGTGGGCGGTAGGCGTTGTGATACAGGCGGGGGGGGGTTTTTTTTTTTTTTTTTTTTTTCGTTTTTCTTTCTACAAAACCAACACTTTGGGTGTGTTTTTATTCACATTGTGCGGCGCAAAAACAAACAAGGGAGTTTTGATACTGGGGTTCGACTCGTCTGAACTGGCATTTATATCCCCCACATTGCAGACATGTGTAATTCTAGATGTCTGTGAGTATAGGCAGACTTTGCATTCTTTTTCACCTTTGGTATTCACTCAGCTAGGCTAGGCTGAGCAGGGCCGGGGGCGGGCTGATGAGAGAACAATCATGAGGGAACCATCATGGCGCAGGACTGCCTAATTTCGTGTGTCCAAATTTATTCAATTGTGATACAGGCGGCGTCTTTTTTTTTTTTTTTTTTTTTTTTTTTTTTTTTTTTTTTTTTTTTTTTTTTTTTTTTTTTTTTTTTTTTTTTTTTTTTTTTTTTTTTTTTCGTTTTTCTTTCTACAAAACCAACACTTTGGGTGTGTTTTTATTCACATTGTGCGGCGCAAAAACAAACAAGGGAGTTTTGATACTGGGGTTCGACTCGTCTGAACTGGCATTTATATCCCCCACATTGCAGACATGTGTAATTCTAGATGTCTGTGAGTATAGGCAGACTTTGCATTCTTTTTCACCTTTGGTATTCACTCAGCTAGGCTAGGCTGAGCAGGGCCGGGGGCGGGCTGATGAGAGAACAATCATGAGGGAACCATCATGGCGCAGGAGTTTCCAGAGATTGTACAGAGGAAAGCGCAGCCTTGGGAAAGAAGAGAGCAACAAGCAATTAGCGTTTCTGATGTAGTAGTGGTGGTCGTAAGAGTAGCGTTTTGCAGGAAATGACAAGCCAAGGTTGATGAAGAAGAGAACATAACCACGTAAATTTCAACGAGCCCGTCACCGCCTGTCCACACCCATCAGTGTGAGACTGCACTAGACAATGCTCCCCGTCGTTGCCGTTGTCAACACGCGTCAACAACGTCCGGGCAGCATCGCCATAGGCCTCCACGGCATCCTCGACGACGCCAGGCCAGGGCACTCACCGCGTACTCATCCCGCCACTCCTTCTCGAATGACAGCAAGTCGGGCATCCGGCCCGCAGCAGCCGACAAAATCGGCTACGTGCCAGAAGGGACGCCGCCAGCTCGCTGCCGTCTGAGTTCTACACTCGTCATCCTGGCTGTGCCCTCTGGGCGATGGGGTACCAGAGGCTGCGTGGAGAGGGCGGGATAGTCAGCGAGCTAGACGAGGAGAGTGTCAGCAAGATGCTTGTGACGGCTGCGTACGGTTGACTAGTTGGGCAGGCGAGAAGGGCCAGCGGCGGGGACCGGAAGGGTTGGGAATGCCCAGGCGGGGAGAGACATGATGGTGGCCGACGTCCTGCTCTTGGGATTGCCCGGCGGGCGCAAGACGTTCACGGAAAACAAGCGCACTCGGTGGCCAGCCGTTGCCGATTCGAGCCCCAGCATGTGTCGGTTTCTCACCCGGCGAACCTGCGCACCATCTCCCGTCGTAGGTGCCCGTACGAGTCTGCCAAAACATCGAGCGAGTCGCCAACAACCCAGCCCGGCCATCAAACCTCAACCCCCCACCGACGACTTCACACAAAAGCACCGCGACGCAACCTCCCACACGCGTCTTCCCTCCACTATCCCGTCCGAGACAAGAAAATCCCGCCGGCCATGCCACTGTGCGGGATGGGGAAAAGCCCGCAAGCAACCCCGAAACAGAGACATCTCGCCCTAGCAACCGCCGTTCCAAAGAATGCCCTTGCCACCAAATAAATTGCAAGCTTGGGGCGGGGGAAGCTACAGCATTCTGGAGGAGAAAGGAAAAAATAGATCGTCAGGGCTGGTTCTGCGCAAGTCCGAAATTGTTCGAGACAAGAAATACACGCAGTTAATGGTGGGCAACTTGCGCTACAAGACTACATGCCACCACGCAAATATACAACGAAGCTAGGCAGAATTAAATGCCAGAATGAAAGCAGGCGGCGTAGCCAGCGTCGCTACCATTCAACGGGCTGTACAATACATGCTCACAGAGGACAACCTGGACATCAGGAGTCTGTTATTCTATCCAACATTTCCTAGTCCTTTATAGGGGGAACTATCAGAGACACCGCTCCCACACTGTAGATAACGACGAACTTAGGTCCCTTGGGTACTAGTCGGCTGGGTCGTTGCCATGTGCGACATTTGACGCCACCGGCATCTAAATACCTACTAGCTACGTACACATGTGATATGAATCAGTCTTGGATACAAGCTTTACCGCCGCCTCAGTATGTACAGGGTTTTGGAGGGCCGCTCGGGGAGATCGCGGGGGAAGAAGAAAGGGGAGGTGGATGACACCACCCCATCGTGGCATGTGGTTCCTTGACCTGTTGCAGACTGTCGATCTTCCTTATGCAAACTGCACCACCCGTAAGGAGGTATGGCGCATCGGGGCAGCAGTGTATCACGTAATGCTAGGGGCTCGTCAAGCTACACGTCACGGCGGCAGATATTTGTCGGAAAACGGAAATCCATTCACAGTGTCCCCGACTGAGTGAGTGTGTAGAGGCATCGCAAGTGCGCTCCAAGGGCTATGTACTGCCAACTTCAATATTTGGCTCGAGATATATATCCACATCGTAGCATTCAAATCATCAACCCCATGTCCGGTCTCTTATAAAACGCCGTCTACCATTAAGATTTTCCATCTTTGTGCCCGAGGAGCCCAGCCCCCAAGAAGGCTGGTATTTGTAGTCCGAAAATTCCATTCATTCTGCCGCGAGATTCCACCGCTTTGACACAAGAAAGAGAGCGAGAGAAATAAGCGCGTAGAGCGAAGCGTACCAGCCAGTTCGTTCATATACCCAAAAATGAGTGCCTTGAATATGTACAGCGAAAAGCGAGTTTAAAAAAAAAATCACCCCAAGAGTAGTGTCCGTGTCTCGGCGAATGATTGGCTCAAATCCAGAGGGGGGCGGCTGGTGTGGTGTGATTTCGTTCGGGGAAGAACATTGTCGAAATACCCTGGATAGCGCTCAAGTAGTCATCTGGGCTTAGCTTCTTGAGGCCTCGGTTATCGAGATACTGCTGTTCCTCGTCAATGGTGTCTAGGCGACTGTTGATGCTGTACTCTTCTGCGAGCTCAGTGACCTGGGCCAACTCATGTCCGAAGGGATGAGAATCCTTGGCCTGAGCTTGGGTCGAGGCAGTTGAGTTGGTTGGCCGAGCCGCCGGCGTGGACTGCTTCTGGGGAAATGGCGATGAGGCGTGTGAGGCGGATGAAGCTCTCGTGGAAGTTGAATGAGGGCGAGAGAAAGGTTGGCCAGCCTTGATGGAGTTGGAGTGGTCTGAATCCCGAGACATGCGCGAGACAGATCTCTGGCGGGCAATAGCTTCGTATGAATTCTTCTTGGTGTGCGAGGGAGAGCGCTTGGGAATCGCGGGGGGCTCTGGCTCGACGGGCAAGGTCGTCGATGCTGATGCGGCAGGTTTGAAGTAGCAGGACAAGTGATTCGGCTCTGGTGAGGAGGATACATCGGGACTGGTAGGGGGTGTGGAATCCGCAGTGCTCTGGGATTCAACATCTGACCCGGACTTGCTGGTAGTTGAGTTGCTGCGAGACGAGCGAGGAATATCGGGAGCATTGTAGGACAGCATGTTGGTAGTGTGAAGGAGCTGTACCGGGGCTGAAATCTTGTCGCGAATGTTGTAGGGAATCTTGGTAGTGTTGCTTCGCTGAGGTATCTTGGCGCTCTCGGCGAGGTCACTGCCACCTCGCAGCCGGCGAGTTGTAAAAGCGCGCGACAACGACATGTTTGGAGGTTGACTGGCAAACAGCAAAGGTGGAAGGGTTTCGATGCTGTGGGGAGGGAATACCGGATTGTATATTAGACCCTGGTTGACCAGTATAAGCCGGTTTGCTGGGGGGGTGTCACGATGGAAGCGCCGACAGGCTCTCGTGCAAGACACCTTGTGACTTGGATCTGTAAGCGGCCAACCTGTAAAGTGCGGCGGCCACGAGTGACCAAGGAACACACGGAACACACTTGCCCAAATGGGTCTGGCTGAGGAACGTTACAGAGGATCGCGGGCTGTTGATGGCGCTCGAGGAGCGGTGACTAGCGCAAAAGGGCCAAAGGGTGCGGCGTCTGGTACAAGTCTGGTGTGATGAATTGGTGCAGCGGCTGTGAGTGGGCGACTTGTTCACAGTTGCATCCACAGACTGAACGGGGAAGGTGGTGGTCGTGGGCTGCAAGTCGTGAGTCGATGAACAAATCCCGGCTTCGGCGCGTAAAGTGAATGCTGCCGATGTATAAAGTCTGGCCGCGTCCCAAATGCAAAGAAAAAGATATCCAAGGCCCGGGGGAGATGTCGGACAAAGCACCTGGTTCACACAAAAAAAGAGGTGAGCTGGTGGGTCGTTGCAAGTCTGGTTGATAGCAGGATGGCAGATGTGGATGCGGATATGCTCGGTCCTGTGAGAGTTGAGACGGGGCGACGAGCGACGACGGTTGGCTGATGACGCTGACTTGGAGGGCACAAAGGGTTGCAAAGGGACCAAGATGATTCGGCGCGTCAATGCTGATTGGCACACAGTAGCACTGTGACGGGCAAGATGAAGCGTTTTCTCAACTGGACTCGAGCACAATAGTTGCGCAAGTTGGTGGCACACACGGGAAAATCCAGTCCCAGCGTGGTGGAATCGACGACGCCCACTGGGGGGTGAGAAAAATGATGATGAGATGAAAGTGAAGCTGAAAGTGAGAGTAAGGCTTGTCCCGTTTGCCGAGAGTGTGGTGAGAGTGAGAGAGAGGCGACCAGGTGACAAACGCGGGCTGTCAGTCTGCTTCTGATGCGAAAGGAACGGTCAACGTTGGACTCGAGAAGGGCCTTGAAAGTATTCTGAGGCTCTTGCTGGTGTAAATGACTTCGCACTGGGCGATAGGGAGTGGAATCGAACGACCCAAGAATCAACGTGGGTTTCGGGACTGTAAAAGGAAGGAACAAATACGCGCGGAATGAACAAGGGCAGAGAGAGAGAGGTGGACGTAGAACCGACGCGCAGAAAAAGAAGCGAAAATAAAAGAGGATGCGAGTCTGTCGACCAAAGGAAATACGAAGGCGACGGGAAGGCGACGGAGGGGTCGAGGCTTTCGACCGTTTGCACACGGGGGATAAGGGAGGCAATCAGAGATATCGCCCAACCAGTCTCTGGCGCCAACCTAGGTACATACTAACCAGACTCTAGCACAATCAATACCATATTATGTGCTCCGTACATATTACTACTTGTACGGCAGAGCACAGACGGAGAGACGCAGGCACAAGCAGGAAAGCAACATCTGGCCCCACCCCCTCTTGAGTTTGTTCCCATTCGGCTCTCACCCGCTCAATACAATCTGCCTGTTGGTTGGCGTCCACTCATTCCCCCCTCTTTTCCCTGGGCGTCCCTGGGCTGGCGGTTCGTGGGCTAGTTCCAGACGGAGTACTCCGTCCAGTCACTAGTACTCCATAGCCGTTCCCTTTTCCAACGTCAAGCCTCAGATGGCACGGACGATATGACCGGCTCGCCCCTGGCAATACTCCGCCAACCAGGGAAGTTGGCGTGCCCAGGTCCACAACGTGCACCTGCGCCGAGGCGCCTGTCGGACGGCTGTATGGACCTCTGTCGTGGAGCCGATGGTCCGAGTTTGGCCAATAGAATCCGGACAGCGACCTGCTAGCCAGGGGCAGGCCATCCCTGCCACGCAACCAAAAGCTAAGCAAGGAACCATGAAGGGGGACGCACAAAAAAAAGACTCGACTCTTTAGCTTTTGACTACGGAGTATTGGCCCTGGTTAAGGACAAAAAACACCTGCTCCTTGAGATATCCACCTTGCCGTTGGGCGCCACACCGCTGTAAACTGCTACCTGCTACGGAGTACCATTGAACCGCTAACGTTCTAGTCCGCAGTTGATGCCTGGCGCTGCGTCGTGCCTCCGTTTGGGCAGCACGACATCGAGCTTTGGTGCCGAACATGTCTCTGTAGCACTCTGTGTACGTGGCCGACTCGATACCGGTCCACTCGTCGCGTGGCGTCTTGGTTCAGCACAAGGGCATGCACCGTACAACAAAAAAATGGATGTCGACACTAATAGCAACTTGCACGATACTCGGTACAAACAAGACAGCAGGCCACGTACTCCGGACTTTCCGCATCCCTTGGCGCGCTTTGCACAGAATGAGCTTCAATGTTCTCCGAGCCACGACGCTACGATGCGCAGTCTTTGATATCGACAAGGCCGTGTGTCAGAGTAAGTCAACCTCGGTGGCCAGGTTCGTCTGCGTGAGGAGTATCTGCAATGTTCTTCTTCTCCGTGCCTGAGCAGGGCGAGCATGGGGTGCTGTCGACTTCAGGACGCCGCGAACACTGCAACCCTTCAAATGTCTGGTTAAATTCTTCCACTCACGGCACCCTCCTGGCCAGCCATTGGTTCGGCATGCCGATCGCTGGTGGTCTGATCCGTTTCAGAGTCTTGGGTGGCGCGCGGTGCCTGCACAAGCGTTGCTCGTTTGCTCTGCCATCCGCCAATGACAATGCGCCACTCCCTGGGCGCTTCCGTCGGCTTGCGCCCGCCCATCTTGCACATGTCTGGTCTGGTTTGTCTACCTGTAATGCCTCCGCGCTTTGCCTTCAAATGCTCCCTTTTACAAGTCCTCGTGCGTCAACTTCTGGCCCATCCTGATATTTCTTTCAGTTTATTTTTAGCCCCCCTTTTTTATTGCCAATACTCCTGAGGATTGTCACACACAAACCGAGCTGGGGCTATTAATTGACCTGCCATCTCATATTGCTACTCCTGTGTCAAGAGCCCTCCCTATTGCCCGCCCGCCTCGCCTGCTGCCCTGGCGGAAGCGATTGTCGAGGCTATTCATCAAGATGCGTCCTCCCTAATATTATTGCAACCACGGATACTTGTGTTGAGCCCACACTTGCCGATGCCAATCTCGTGCCCTACAGCCTTCCTTGTCCCCATCTCAACACTGTGCACCCAGTTTTCCACGTTTTTCTACATTATGCAAGTTCAATTGTCCCAAACTGACGCATAGTTTATTTCCGTCGGGCACTAGGAGATTTTTGCACGCCGCAGCAACATAAACAAGCCACAGTCTAAAATAGTGTCGAAAAAGAGGGAAAAAAACGTCTCACCATACTCAGTATGTACGTCGAGAGGGAGACACAAAAGACAAAGGCCCCTTTTGTCTTCATCTTTATTCAACTCTCCCTTCCTTCTTCTACCGTGGGCTATGCGGTTAGTTCGTCGCGCGTTTCGTCCCTACAAGCCCATCCACGAGCGATCCACCAGCCGCGTTTCATCTCGTCACAGGTTTCATGTTCTGCCCCCATCCCCGGGAGGTGCCGCACAACCTGCACGCCTCAGACGAGAGCTCAGCTGATGGATCAGCAGAAAATGGTAACGACGTTTCTAACTGGTTTGATGGGCGTAAGTTTTGAATATTTTATTTCCAACTGTCCAATGTGACGCTCTGGTGGTGCTTGTAACGACTCGAGCGTCATGTATCTGCAATACGTACGTATGTTGTGCAGCTACCAGTAAGATTGGGTTAATTTGCCGAGCATGCATGTGCCCGTATCTTTTGCAGCATGGTTACATGTCGCGTGTGCGGGTGCATTTTATTCCTGGGCCGAGAACAACGATGCTTTTTTTTTCTTCGTAACTATTTTTGATTTATTCTACTCCTCTATATGCAGTATCAAGTTTATTAGGAGCACCACGAGGATTGGGCCCACCCTGTAAACAGACACTCAGTCCCATGTCAATGGCATCTGGAGACTGGTCGCAAACCCTGCTCATTCAAAACTTGGGTAAGGTATTCAGACAACCACAGACGAGTTCCACTTTGCTGAGGGCCTGTGCCTAGTGAAGAAGAGACTGACGGTACTCCATTAAATGCGTTAGGACGCTGGCCGGTTTGACACGTCTTGGCAGTACCTGATAATTGATCCTCACCCTGGTGCTAATGTTTATGTCTCTTACGGCGTGCTGCCTCCCTCGCTCTGATCCCTGGCAAAAAAAAAAAAGATACCGTGGTTTTGGTCTCAAAGCGTATGAAATCGATTGCACTTTTGAACGCCATTTTGCCACTTTTTTGTATCTCGCTGATCTATAAGCAAAATATGGCATCAACTATGTAGGATATTGCCAGTCGCAAAACACGACTCATCTGGTTCATAAGGGCGTACCACGGTCGTTCTGTCAGTCAAAAAAAAAAATATTGTCAACCTCCTGGCGACTTCATTCCACTTTAATCCTCATCCATGGACTCTCCATCCTCTTGTCCCTCGCCCTCGCCCTCGTCCTCGTCCTCGCCGTCTTCCTCGGACGAGCTGCTCTCTTCCTCCTCGACACCAATTAGACGGTCCTCAGCGACGTCGTCCTTTTGAGCTGGAACCTTTTGCGCAAAGACCTTGCGAACCGCAGCATTGGTGCTGGTGTCCCAGACTTGCATGTTTCCATTGCTGCCTGCCACGGCCAGGCGGAAGCCGACTTCGGCATCTGGTCCAAACGTCGTGGCAAAGACTTTGCCGACATCCAGGTTGCGAGAGACAACCATCGAGGGACCGGTGGGTTGAATGCTCCACAGCTTGACGGTTCTGTCGGTGGACCCAGTGGCCATGAAGCCCGGGATGACGCTGTTGATATCAAAGGAGGAAACGGACTCATCGTGGGCTTGGAGCGTCCAGACGGATTTGGTGGCTGTTGGGTCGGAAGGCGCATTTCGAACATCGTGGTAGTGTATGCAGCCGCTTTCCGTGGAGACGAAGAAGTAATTCGAGTCGTGGGGATCCCAGCGCACGTTCTCGACGTCGCTTTCTACACCCCAGCGCGGCGCCTTTGCGTCGGGGGCTCGCATGTCAGCGGCCACGATGGTGCGGTCGTAGCTACCGCTCAGGAGAACCGTGGCCTCGGTACTGTGCCATGCCAGAGAGCACACCTTGTCCGTGTGGTAAGAGTAAGACTTTGCACATTGCGTCGTGTTCAGGTCCCAGAGTTTGACCGTCTTGTCGGCGGATGCGGACGCCAGCAGATTGCGGTGTTGTCTGTTGGCAGCCAGTGAAAGCACCGCGTCTACGTGGTAGGCGTCGTTTGCCTTGGCCTTTTTGGACTTCTTGCCCTTCTTCTTATTCTTCTTCTCGCCGGAATCTGCGCTGGCGCCCTGTCCGAGTATAGCGTTCGGGTACATGCAGTCGATGGTGTCGAGATCCCAAATCTCAATGTCTGGGTCCATGGTTCCCACTGCGACGTAGTTCCCCTTCCCCCCCTTCTCGCCGCCAGAATTACTGACGGGCATGTCGAGCCACTCGAGTGCAAGAGGGATGGCGGGCAACATGATGTCGTGATGCACGTAGAGGTTGTCGCCTTCGTCTTCAAATACATAGACTTCGAGGTGCGCGAGCTCATCTTCCACCTTGGCGGAGAGAATCAGGTTATCGGTGGCGAGAATTTGGAGGTCTTCTTTCTCTTCGTCATCGTCATCGTCATCTTTTAGAGTAATGTATGGGTCGTCTTTGTTGGAGCCGTGGTACGCCAATGCTTTGAGGCTTCCGAACATGCCCATTCCCGTTCCGTCTGCATGTGCTTCGGCTTCGTCTTCATCGTCGTCATAATGCTCTAGATCATACTCTTTCAGGTCGTCGTCGTCGTATCTGTGCCAAGGTTAGTATCCCGATTTATGTGATCTTTTTTCGAATCGGGCGGCGAACTTGGCCTCGATAGTTGCTTTTTCGCCCTCCACATCCATGCTCTCGTCGTTGTCCGCATTTTTACTTCCTCCGTCAGAGCCCTCCTCCTCTTGCGCCTCCTTCAAGTCCTCTTCGGCATCGTCCAGTTGGAGCTTGGCGAGTTCAGCTATGCGCGCGAACTCACTTTCGTCCAGAGTGTACTTTTTGGGAAACGGGGCCGCAAAGCCTCGAGGCACCCATTGAGCGGCCGTAATCATAGACATCTTGGGCCAACTGACAGATTTATTGTCCGGGCTTGCAAGCGGTGCACCCAGAAATCAACCCGACCTGGGACAAAAAATCAGCCTGGCAGAGTCCAAAATTTTTGGTAGTGGGGTTTATCGATAAGCAAGCTTCTTTGGCGTGGCCAGACATGGATCGGGAAAACTCCGCGACGGGATTGTGACTTCAGAGCTACTTGCGACACGCGCAGAACTGGCTTCTCGACCGCACAATTGATTAGCTGCACAAGGCAGCATACGGCCACGAGATGACTGGGGACAGAGACTACGATGGGTACAACCCGAAGAGGAGAAGATTGGACTCGTCGCGACCACAACACAAGTTTCAAGATGGGTCGCGTGGCTCAACACCCCGGGCTCAATCTAGCTACGCTGCTACCCCGACAAGAGAGTCTGAGAATCAAGGGCCGGACGAAGAAGATATGCTAGCACTGGATCGAGATTGGTACGGAGGCGATGAGTTGGGAGGACACGCCTTCGGTGACGATACACACAACCCTTTCGCATCTTACGAGATTTCCGCCTGGGAAAGCCAACAACAGGAGTCTGCCAAGGCCGAGAAGATGGCGAGTCGGTACGACGCGAGACAAGAACAACGTCGCAGAGAAAATGACGCATGGGAAACGAACAGAATGCTGGTCTCAGGTGTCGCTCAGCGAAGAGACATGGCATCAGACTTTGACGACGAAGAGGCAACCCGAGTACATTTGCTGGTTCACGACCTACGGCCACCGTTCCTTGATGGGCGGACGATCTTCACGAAACAGCTTGAGCCGGTTCCCGCCGTCAGGGACTATCAGAGTGACATGGCTGTGTTCAGCAGAAAAGGAAGCAAGGTCGTGAGAGAGGCCCGTCAGCAGAGTGAGCGTCAGAAGCAGGCTCAACAAGCGACCTCGATCGCTGGAACAACACTGGGCAATATCATGGGCGCCAAAGACAACGACGAAGACAGTGCTTTACCTGGACCTGGTGAAGACGGCGTCGAGAAGAGCGAATCCAAGGGCAACAAGTTCAGCGCGCACATCAACAAATCCAAAGGTGCCAGCGACTTTAGCAGGAGCAAAACGCTTCAAGAACAACGACAGTATCTGCCGGCATTTGCAGTTCGCGAAGAACTTCTAAGGGTCATCAGGGAAAATCAGGTTACCATTGTTATTGGCGAGACGGGTTCGGGGAAAACGACACAGTTAACACAGTTTTTGTACGAGGATGGATACGGGCAGACCGGCATGATCGGTTGTACACAGCCTCGACGTGTTGCTGCCATGAGTGTAGCGAAACGAGTTGCCGAAGAAATGGAAGTCGAGCTAGGTACAACCTGTGGTTATGCCATTCGATTTGAAGATCACACAAGCAAGGAGACTGTCATTAAATATCTGACTGAAGGCATCTTGCTCAGAGAATCTCTAAATGAGCCCGATTTGGATAGATACTCGTGTATCATCATGGATGAAGCGCACGAGCGTGCATTGAACACTGATATCCTACTCGGATTATTCAAGAAGATTCTTCAGCGGCGACGGGACCTCAAGCTCATTGTGACCTCGGCGACGATGAATGCGAAACGATTCTCGGATTTCTTTGGAGGTGCGCCGGAGTTCACAATCCCTGGGCGAACATTCCCAGTTGATGTCATGTTTCATCGATCGCCAGTTGAGGATTATGTGGACCAGGCAGTCCAACAAGTGTTGGCCATTCATGTTTCAATGGACCCGGGTGACATCCTGGTGTTTATGACTGGACAGGAAGACATTGAAATCACCTGCGAACTGGTACAGAAGCGGTTAGATGCTCTGAATGATGCGCCAAAACTAAGCATTCTTCCTATTTACAGTCAAATGCCGGCAGACCTGCAAGCAAAGATCTTTGACCGAGCTCCGCCAGGGGTACGAAAATGCATTGTGGCGACAAATATTGCAGAAACCAGTTTAACAGTTGATGGTATCAAATACGTAGTTGATGCGGGTTATTCGAAAATGAAGGTGTACAACCCCAAGATGGGTATGGATACGCTTCAGATCACGCCAATCTCTCAAGCCAATGCTTCGCAACGTTCTGGCCGTGCCGGCCGAACGGGGCCTGGAAAAGCCTTTCGTCTCTACACGGAAAAGGCTTTCAAGGAGGAGCTATACCTACAAACGATTCCAGAAGTCCAGCGTACAAATCTTTCAAATACGGTTCTAATGCTGAAGTCCCTGGGTGTGAAGGACCTGCTCGACTTTGACTTCATGGACCCGCCACCGCAGGACACCATTTCCACGTCCATGTTCGATCTCTGGGCACTGGGTGCGTTGGACAATCTCGGAGAGCTCACTGAACTGGGGCGCAAGATGAGCGCCTTTCCCATGGATCCGTCCTTGGCCAAGCTTCTGATTACGGCCGAGCAGTATGGCTGCAGCGAGGAAATGATTACCATTGTGTCTATGCTCTCGGTCCCCAACGTGTTCTATAGACCAAAGGAGCGCCAAGACGAAGCAGATGCTCAGCGAGAGAAGTTCTGGGTGCACGAATCAGACCACCTGACGTATCTCCAAGTGTACCAAGCCTGGAGAGCTCACGGCTTCTCAGACGGCTGGTGCATCAAACACTTCCTACACTCGAAATCACTGCGTCGCGCCAAAGAAGTGCGTGAGCAAATCGTGGACATTATCAAGGCTCAGGGAATGGAGATCAACAGCTGCGGCATGGACTGGGACATTATCCGAAAATGCATCTGTTCGGGCTACTATCACCAGGCGGCAAAATACAAGGGTTCGGGCGAGTACATCAATCTGCGGACGAATTTGGCCGTTCAGCTCCATCCGACGAGCGCTCTATACGCCGGCCACCCGCCGGATTATGTAGTATATCACGAACTCATCCTCACGTCGAAAGTCTACGTCTCTACCGTCACGGCGGTGGATCCTCACTGGCTCGCCGATCTCGGTGGCGTGTTCTACTCGGTCAAGGAGAAGGGATACTCGATCCGGAACAAACGCATTACAGAGACTGAGTTCAATCGCAAGATGGAAATCGAGGCAAAAATGGCAGAGGACAAGCGCAGAGACGAAGAACGCAAGCAAGCGGAGCAAGAGAAGGCAACTAAAAAGAAGGCCCCAGCTGACACCAAGAAGATTGTCACGCAGGGCGCAGTCAAGAAGCCCGTCATTAGAAGAAGGGGCCGGGGTTTCTGAAAGCTCAAGTTGACGTATTTTTGTATTTTTTTTTTGAATTATTGACTATAGATGGGTGCATGGCTAATGCAAAGCGGATCGGGATCCTTGGATTTAAAAAAAAAAATGATACCAAACACACACATACACACAGGCAACTGCCAATATCAATGACGTATAGAGAAACTCGTCTCCCCTTCAATGACATCGCGATCCTCCCGTGTGAGCTGTCCAACCTTGGCATGCCGCGGTCCCTGATCGACATCTTTCAGGAATTTGGAAAGAGTGTCTTCATCTCCTTGTGCTTCTCCCTCTACCTGGATTGTACGTTTCTGTTAGTAATGATTTTCTCAAGGCTCACGATGGAAGCGGAGAAGGGGCGCGGCGGTGGTGGTGACAAACCTTGTTATCTGCCGTGTTTCTGCACCAGCCTGTGATTCCATACTCCTCGGCTCTCTTTCTCGCAAAATACCTGTACTCGAGTGTCATTACTCCGGTATGGATTTCCCGCCCTTCTCTCCCCTACCGCTCCAAGGGCAGTTACCTGAATCCGACACCTTGTCGCCCAAACTGTCAGCAAGAAGCCACCCTTCACCCTCAACTTGGCTGTGAGGAGTCCGACGTACCTTGCACGACGCCGCCGTGTGCGACGAAAAAAACCTGCGGCATTTGGGGGTTATTTTGAGCATGTGGGGTGTATATTTGCAATTGCCGCTTACCCGCTTTGCCATTTGTATATTGGTTATGGACGATAATGTGTCGCAAGTGGACGAGTGTTGAGGGGGGTTTTCCAAGTCGAGCTTGCACCGGCGCAGCTTGAGAGACGATGATGGTGTGTGACTGACTGGTGGAGCCGCCATAAGCTGCCGAATTTCAAGCACGTAGGTTTTAGATTTTGTTTGTTATTTTCTTTTCTTCGTTTTTCATATTTTTTTCACAACCAGTGTTTGACACCACTACCATTGTCCTTTTGATGAAAGCAGCGGTCATCAACACGGCGAGCACTTGGGCTCCCCGTCCCTTGTAGACACCGTCGCCGCTTAGACTCTCCGAGAATCAGCCATGCAGAGAGCAATGATGCTTCCACGAGCCTTGCGCAGACGAAAACACGACAAATAAGCCGCCTGGCAAGCGGAACCGTCCCCCTTTTGCTGCCAAAACTTGCTCTCTCGCCACAACACCTGAAAGAGCGCGCATGTCCTGCACCCCGTTTCGCGTCCCGCCAAATGACGTCCCTCGCCCGTTCCACGAGCGTTATCGATATCGGCACGACCCGCCAACCGATCAACCTCAAATACCAACCCATCTTCCAACCATCATCACCCGCGACCACACTCATCATCATCCTCAATCAACCCTGCGCCCATTCCCCCACGACAGCTTGCTCACCATGGAGCCGTCACAGGACGACCCCGCCGCAGCCATACGATTCCGGCCCTCCAAGAAGCGCAAAGCCTACCGCCAACGCGCCGACGACTCCCCGCCGCCAACGACCCCCAAAGACACCCGGCCGCCCGAACAAACAAGCCGAGAGCAGCAAGCAAGCGACGCGGAATCCGCCGTCACAGCCGCAATGCGCGCCCGCAGCTCCCGCAGAGCCCGCCTCCGCGGCGTGGGATTCACCTCCGACGACCAACACGACGCGCCCGCTCCCACCGCACCGACAGACCGAGAAAGGGCCCCCGCGAAGGGAATCCCAGACCGCTTCACCCACCAAACAGGTCTCGTTGCCACCCTAAACGACAGGCACATGTATGTCGTGCGAATCCCAGGCGCGCCCCGACGGCAGGGCAGGCCCGGAAAACCACGGCAAGAGCTAATCATTCAGGAACGAATACATAGAGTCCCGCCTGTCCGCCCACGCCGCCCCCGGGCCCTCACAGCCCGCGGCCCCGGAAGAAGCATCGGCGAGACCGCCCGCCGGCGCGCACGCCCACCGCACACACGACCAGCCCACCAAGCACGGTAAGCTCCTCGAGGTGGACGTGCCGGCAGACGCGCGCCGCGACGCCCGGAAACGCCCACCGGACTCGGAACCTGCGCGGCCCAGGCGCGGGCGCAACCGCCGTGGGAGCGACGACATGAAGCGGGATCAGCTCGTCGAGGCGTTTTTGCACGAAAATAAACGTACGTTCCTCTTTCTGTACCCCCCTTCTCCAACTTTGCCTCTTACAACGGTCATCATAAAGTATATGGGAGGAAAAAACAAGGAGTGCTGACTTGCAATTGAAAAAAAAAATGTATATAGTGGATGTATACGACGTTCCTGTACAGAATAGCCCCGTGAACGGGGGCGATGGTCGTTCCGCCGACGACCGCATGGCAGATGAATTTCGCCAACGGTACATAGAAGAGGTGGCCGCGCGGCGGCTGAAGAGGCGCCCGGCACTGACGGCAAAGCAGCAGCAGCAGCAGCAGCAGCAGCAAGCCGCCGTGCTCCG